TACATCGCTGCGCCCGCTGCCGCCTCCCTGGGACGGTGGATTTCGGAGGAGGCGTTTGCCCAGGCGAGGAGATTATTAGGTACCGCCCAGTAATAGCATATGTAATAGCAGCACTATAATGTATATATTATGGGGCAGCACCCATCAATAGCATATATAATAGCAATAATCACTCTGCATCAACTGAGTTTTGACAAGGCCGTTGCCTCTCTCTTTAGAGGAGGTTGGCAAGGATGACTCACAGCATCCTCACGCCACCATCGTTTCTCAGAGTTTTGATTGGTGTGGACTTTAGTCACAGTGTTTTCTAGCAATAATCCATGGGACGCAAAGCCTGAGATCATTTTGAAGTACTTGTTGGCTGAAGCTGATGCAGAAGATTTGAATTCCGGCCCGTTTTGCTGATCAGGCAGGCCTGGGCAGCTTCTCTTGAAAACTGGATTCTCTTGTTTGTAGCAATGAGTGACTGCTCATGTTTGAAGAAACTATAAAGCTGTATTTCCATGCACTGTGACCTGTTTTTTTCCCTTGCTTTTATTGGAGATGCAGGTTTTAATGGATGTTTCTTACTTTTTTTCCTTCCCTTTGTAGAACAAGAAGTTAGACTAGATGCAGTAAATTGGAAGAAATGGAAGAAAGGAAAATCAAGAGGAGGAGCCCCAAATCATCCACCAGTCACCCTGCTCAGGTTACTAACTCCAAGAAAAACTCGGTGCCGGTCAGTAAAAGTACAGCCTTTTCAAATCCTGCACCACAGCCTGCAGTCCAAAAACCAAAGTTAAAACGGTAAGCTTGGGAGCATCTTGCAAGCTCAGTGAAAGTGAGAGCCAGAAACCTGCCAATGCTCAGACAGTCTAAAGGGTGTTGAGACTAGCAGGGACAGAATGAAAAGAAAGAGCTTCAGACTTGTGAAAATTTTTGATGACTTGTCTTTTTTAGTAAAGCAATTTGTGTTTAATGCAATATAACGGTTATTTTACAGAAAAGGAAGGTGCTCGATAGTTGTCTTGGAAGCTTTATAAAATGTTACACAATGCTGTAGACTCATACTGATAACAACTTACCTGAAGAGATAATAGTCTGAAGTGACTGGTGAAAGACAAGAGTTATCAAATGTGGCAAATGTGGACATTGTACGGGAGATGGCAGAGCCCTAGATGTACAGCTGTGAGGAACAGTTAAAATATTACATGACTGCAAGGTTGGAACTGACAAGTAGGGCAGGAAATGAAGGACGTAAATTGAACAGGATGAGCTAGAACTGGAATTTCCGGGTGTTTTTTGTTTGGGGACCTATCAGCGGGGGCAGTGGTAGCATGCACAGAAAGAGGCATTCAGCTCTTTACAAAGTACCGTTTTTGGAATAGTTTGTGTGTTGTTGATGGTACGTCTATTTCGGTTTGAGAACATTTTCTGACATGCAGGAAAATTAACGTATTTCTTGACTGTGGCATATACAGTAGATAAATGAGTGAAGAGGGATTTTAAAGTGAAATGTTAGCTAGAGAAGGGCAGCTGAGTTCATTGATCTGTAAGTATTAGCTGAAGATTCAATACTGAGCTGCCCTCTTTGGCACAGATAATCTGTTTAAAGGACCCAGTATTGGCCTGATGGAAACGTCATGGATTCCTGACATGTAAAGTATATACTTCCCCCCCACCCCAGGGAAAATGTGTTAATATTTTTAAGGAAATAATAATGAATACTAATGTGCTATACATTGGTGGTGCCTACAGCTGACTGTAGTTTATTAAGACTCAACACTATTCTGGAATGTACTAGAAATTCATTTCTTGTAGCCCACAATATTGGTTAGAGAAGAAAAACGTCCTTTTTGCTTTAAGTTTTGGAAAAGGACATTCTTGCTCAATTGTTAAGTGAAGCTTACCAAGCAGTGATAATACAGACAAATTTCTCAAACTCTCCAAGGAGGAGTGGAAACTGACAGAATAATGTGAGGATGAACTGCTGTTATGATAGTGGAGTAAGAATATTTAACTCATTTTCAGTTTGTCTGCAAGAATCCAATGAAGAAAGTTTTCCAGGAGGAGTAATATATTGTATTAAGCTTCAGAAAGAGATGGAAAAAACCAATGACCTTTCTGGCATACAAACCTTTCTTTGAGTCTGAAATTGAAGCAGAAGTAGCCAAAGTTAAACCTAAATTGAGACATACTGCTCGGAGTTGAACCACATATGATAATTGTTGGACCATTAGTTGTTCCAGCATATAGGCTATGTAGCCTGTATGATGTTTGTATACTAGAGAAGGTGTTAGGCTGGGAAAAGAATGATTATTTCCCATAGGAAAGAGAAGAATTTATGACTTGCAAAGCATGGGAGTATTCAAGGGAAGGGTGGAGCTTACTATGCTGTAAACCCTATTATCTTCACTAATTAAATAGAGTCTCTTTTGGTAGGTGTTAGAGGACCAAGAGATTGCTTTTCATGGTGAGTTTTACAAAATTTAGATGTTGTTTGAAGGTGGGAAGAAGGAGCTCTAGCAAAACTTACCTGGAGGCAAGGTTACCTTTCCTGTATAGGTTATAACAAGTTGTTTTCCACACTGGTTGCAGTCTGTAGGTTTTTGTGACAATGGGAGTGCATGACTGCTGAGGGTTTTTCTCTCTGGCTTAGAGTGCTTTTTGGGTGAGTTTATGCAGATAATTCCCCATGTGCCATTGTTGGGTAATCGTCCTCCTTAGATTATGAAGATGGCCATTGCATACATGTGCTCCATTGATGTTTCCCACTATTAACAGGAAAGCCGATTGTTGGAGTCATTCATTTTGCAGTATCAAACTGTCAAAATTGTGATGTTTTTCTTTATTCTTAAGACAAACCGGTGAACCATTTTATTACATATTTCAATCACTCCTTTTAAGTATGCTGTATTTTCAATTTCATTTTCAAAGCCCAGATGTAGACTTACCTTACATTTCAGATTCTCAGTGACAGTGAAAGCAGGAGGTAATGTCTTTTTGTTTACTTTATTTTTTCAGTGTAATAAAAGAGAAAGCCAAACCTCCAGGAGGCGAAGCAAAAGGGGCACAGGCAGCACCAATTCAGCATTCTTTTCTCACAGATGTATCAGACGTCCAGGAAATGGAAAGGGGACTTCTGAGCCTCCTGAATGACTTCCACTCTGGCAAACTTCAGGCATTTGGTAAGTGAATGGTCTGTGCATGATGGTAACATTTCCAAACAAATGTGCTGTATGGACAGACTGCCAGTTTGTCATATTGGACTCTGCCATATGAAATGAAGTTTAACATAATTGATAGATCTCACTGCATTTTTAAATTATAGTCCTATTGTAAGGTTGTCTTTGATGGGAAATTATTGAAATGCCATTGCATTGTATCTTCCAGCATGGCTTACGAAAGGCAGTACCTTGGCTTATGGATGTAAGATACCAAGTTTAAAGCCACTTACTTATGATCGTATAGGAATAAGAAGTAGTAACTGTATTTAGCACCTGATTTTACTGCAAATTAACACTTTAGACTATTGGTAAGAACTTTTATGGAATCCAGTGCAAGTTGCATTTTACCCAGCTTACTCTTCTGTTTTAGCATCTTACTATTATTACTATTTCACAGTTGATGGAGGTTTCAAAAAAAAACATGACACACTTCTGCTTCCTTTTCGCCCCCCCGCCCCGTACTGAGTAGAAACATGCTTACATGCTTTTGTAAGTTTAGTGTTAGGCGAGCATGTCACACTAATTCTACACTGATTTTACAAGCGAGCCTAAAAGTCTGTATTATATAAAGCATCTGTTACAAGAAAGAAACCCCCAAGAATAATCAAAATTAGAAAGAAAGTTTATTGTGATCATATTTAAAGTTAAAAATACAGAGCCTTCCTAAAAGGGAGAGAAAATCAGAGTATAGGAAAAAACATGTATATTCTAAAAAAAAAAAAAACGGTTTAGTACATTCAGTAGTTGTTAAAAGTTCAGCACAACATAGCACCAGGCAGGATGACAGAAACCTCAGTCTGAGAAAGCAAACTAACTTGTAAATGTGATGTTTAAATTCCTCTCCTCTGATGTAAAAAGCTGCATCTTCACACCTTCATTTGCTCTCTCAGGTTTTCTTATCTAAAGCTGTTGCTGTCCTTTTAGGGAACGAATGTTCGATAGAGCAGATGGAGCATGTGCGGAGCATGCAGGAGAAACTTGCTCGCCTCAATCTAGAGCTCTATGGGGAGCTGGAAGAACTCCCTGAAGACAAAAGAAAACTTGCCAGTGACTCCAACCTGGACAGGCTGCTATCAGATGTAAGTACTGGGAAGGCAGAAAACACAGAACTTTGCCCATAGAACTTGGCTCAGGAAAACAACACTACTAGGTGGGCATCAAGTTGCAGTTGAGGGGAACAGTTCTATAATGAATCAAGATATAAGCTGTGCACTCCTCTTGGTTTTGAGACAACACAGTACCTCATTTTCTTTTTCTGTAGGCTGCTGCTTGTTTGGTTGAGTGGAGCAGTCTAGCTGTAAACTGCCTGCTTAGAGACAGCCAGTGTACCAGGGAACTACGACCATTTTCCCTCTGCTCCATCCTCCCACATCGAGGGAAGGCCACACATAACAAGGAATTTAGATCTGCGTGTTCTACATTTTCTTTCTCCCTTCTTTAGTGTATTCCATAAACCCCCAAACATAAATTTCCTGAGATAAGCAGATTTAAATTCAATTTGGGATTAAGCTCTGTTGGCGAAGAATTCAGTGCAGGTTTGCTTTGGTTTTTGTAATAAATTCATACATTTCAGCTCAAACTATTACCAATTTGCTTCATTGTTTTAATGTAACTTCATCATATCAGCATAATTGTTGCATTTGACTAAGTGAAATGCCATTTCTGATACTTTCTACATTTATATTGCAGCTAGAAGAACTGAATTCATCTATGTATCCTTTTCTTTAAATGTCTATTTTTCGATTAGAATTGTTAACTGTAATCAAATTACAGTATATTTCCCCAGTAACTGGTGGCTTTATAAGAGTCAAATCACTTCAGTAACTGCCTTTCTTTTAAATTAGCATTGTAATACAGCCTGGATTTTAGCTTCTTCAATATGTAAATGATTGGAACTTAACACTTTTAATTACAGGCTGGGTTTTTGTCATACAGTGATTTGTTTGGCTAGCGTGCACCACTTTAGTATTCAGAAGTGTTCTGTCCCATTGATAAGTGAATCCTATTACCTTTCAGTTTTCTCTAGAAATACATGCATCTGTTTATCACTGATTTTACTGTGAATAGCAGACTGACCTAATTTTTTATTTGTTGAGTCAGATATTTCAGCAGAGTTTTGGTAATTGAACAAATGTACACTCTTAGCTTTATCTTCTTCTGGGAGGGCTAATTGTTGTAGCTTGTCTCCTGCATTGTGCTTTTGATAAGCCAAGAATACAGTTTAGGAGTGTTGCATTCAGTTTATACTGCAGTCTAGTTATTTCTTATGTTACACACTTTGCATTGAGGAAGGTGGGACTCTGGTTTGGGACTTAAGATACTGCATTAGTATATACATTCTCTCTCTCTCTGTGGAAAGCTGTTTAAGGCTAGGTCTCAAAGAACACAAGCAGCATGTGATAATAATATAAGTGATAAAAATAATCTGCCATTGCCCTTGATCCGCCAGCTAATTCTGGAGGTTTGTAATGCTTAAGACTCATGGAAGTAGATTAATCTACTGGTTGAACGCTAGCATAGGACTTAATAGAACTGAGTTCAGCTGGACTGGTGCATACTCGTCACAGGACTAAGCATAGTTTTGTGTAACACTGCTATCTTGTTTATACCTTATCATGAAAATGTTATTCCTTAACTATTTGCTTCAGCCAAAAACTACATTTAGCGGATGCTCAAGATATTCCAAATAGTGCCACAGGCTGAAAGAACAGCTGGGTCAATTTGGATTCTCCCAGAAGCTCTTATTTTGTTTTTCCTGACAGTGGAATCTGGAACTGTTATGGTTTTGTTGGGGGTTTTTTTTTGTTGTGTTTTGGGGTGTTTTTTTAATTTTACACAATGAAGAATCAAAGTGCAAGTCCAAGTGTTCATTTTTGCACATTCCTCTTTGAGCACTGCATTATGTCAGGACTCAGAATCTAGAGTTTTAAGTAGGTTGTTGTGATACTATGCTTTTTATTATTGCCTTATTTAATAGAAAAATTGGGGAAACTCAGAAGTACATTTCTTCTGCTCAGTGTTGTTCATATGATTGAAAATGATGTATGTATATAAGTTCATTAGTATTTCCCCAATTTTTATGAAGGTAGCAATGATGTTGCCTTTCTGATCAGTATGTAGACAATCTGCACACTATTTTTAGTGGCTTGTTGATCAGTGATGCCATAGATTAATTTATTGTTAATAAACATTTTAAATACGATGTTTCATTTAGAGAAGTTGCTATCTGTTCAGCTGTGTTAATAAGATACAAGTTCTTGCATGGTCTGAATGTTTGCAGAGTTTACTTTTTTTTATCACTGTGAATAATTATAAAATATCACTAAGTTAGAACTAGCATGCATGCTAGCAATCCACATAATTTAAGTATTGTGAAATTCCAAAATTGGGTAAACAGTTATTGTTCAATAAAACCAATATTTGCAATTTTGTAGTCATTCCTAAGTTATAAATAGCCTGGTATTAATTGGTATTGTCTTTGTGTTCAGTTGGGGGAAAAAAGTGTAAATAAGGCTGGTTTTTAGATCCAAAATTTCTTTCTTGGTACATCAAACTATGCCTTTGGTCCTAGATTTATTTTATATTCAGTTTTTAGGCAATACATTCAGATTCTATACTGTATATACTTATGCACAAGGAATGAAATCTTTATCCTTCTATTTGAGCAAAGTTTTTCATCAGCCCGAAGTGGGCATGTGGCTGGGGAACAAAAGGTGCCTTTTGCTGGGGATCTTTGGAGAAGATGCTCCTACAGCTGTAAGATGTGGCTGTGGATTCCATGGGCTCCAACTCGTCTTGGAATCACTGGTTAATGAACCAGCAGGGATCCCAGCTGGGCTTTTCCTTCTGGATGCCTTTGTTCTTTACATGATTTATCTCCTTCATTGTTGTTGAAATTTTAAAGAGGGGTTGCATGCTGGGTTGTGAAATCCAAAGACAGCTTAGGAGAACTAGAATACAACATGCTTCTCACAAAATGAAGCCAAGGGCGTTTTTTCTACTTTAACCAATAATTGGGCAATTACCCTTCTGTGCGCAGGAACTTCTTCCTATCAGCACCTTGGCCTTGTTTCTGTGCAGACTTCTGAACATCAAGCAAGCAGCAGCATGTTTTGGTCTCGAGCCTCCAGGTGCACAAAGGTGCAATGTTCCTTAAGGTGGCAAAAGTCCTGAGGGGAGCTGCATTTATACAAGTAACATGACATTCTGGTGGCTCATTTTGATTCAGGAGGAGAGCTGCACCCCCACTAGCCACTTGGTGCCAGCGCAGTACAGTGCAGTGTTGTAGTGCACACTGGTCCCAGAACACACTTTTAAACAGTAGTTTTCATAGTTTAAACTATTCTACAATAAAGAGAATTCTTTTCTTCTTTGGGGTCTGTCATCTAACTCTGCTGAGGTTTATGACTTCAAACAACATATGAATGTGGGGGCTGTTAGATGTCTTGATCTCTAAATATCTGTAGCAATTTATGCAAGCATATAACACATAGGTGTAATTTGAGATAGGAACAAATACTTTTCTTGAGCAGCTGTTTAGCATTACACAAGAATTAACACCTTTTTCTTCAACCACCTTAGGCCCACAGGCAGTCACAAAGAATGCATTAATTGCAAGTAATAAAGGAATTAAAATTCTCTTATGTCTTCCTGGATACACATTTGCATCTTTTATACAATCCATTAATGGCAGATACTCATTATCTTTTGGATTCGTACAAGAAAATTTTGTGGCAAGATCTTTGAGAGACTGAGCTGCCCTTTGGGTAGTAATACACTCATCACATTTCTAGGCTCTTGCAGGAAAAGATCGGTATCATATCTGTGGACAGTCTTTTGTAATTATCAAAGTACATAACTGGCTGCATAAAATGACTGCCTTTTCTGTTATCTTGTTTCCTGAAGAGTGGTGTATGGAGGTAGAAGTGTATTAACATTGAATGTTTCCTGGCCTAACTCACACTGATAAATGGATACAGTGTTTGAAAGAAGACATTTTTTCCTGCATCATTGATCTAGATTACCTCACTTCAAGAGACAGCTGTGGAACCTCAATGAACCAAAGAAGAAAATAAAAAAAACAGGAAAAAAGCTAATAGGAAAGGAAGGTGTCTTAAGAGAACAGGATTTGGAAGAGAAGTGACCAGGAGGTTGAGGGAGGTGATTTTCTCCCTCTACTCTGCGGTCATGAGAGCCCACCTGGAATACTGTGTCCAGCTCTGGGGACCCCAACATAAGAAGGACATGGAGCTGTTGGAGAGAGTCCAGAGGAGGCCACGAAGCTGATCAGAGGGCTGGAGCCCCTCTCCTGTGAGGACAGGCTGAGAGAGTTGGGGTTGTTCAGCCTGGAGAACACAAAGGTACAAGGAGCAAAGGCATAAGGGTAAAGTGGGGGGAAAAAAAAGCAAAGCTGATTAAATTTGGATCATGACCTGTAAATTTAGTTCAATCAGTAAGAAATTAGAGTTCAAGGGCATGTTAGAGCCTTATAAACCACACACAACATACCAAGACTTCACAACTGCATCACATTGTTTATATTCTATATTGGATATTGATAATACCTAGTCAGTATCATCACGGATCCCCATTCATCATGGTTATGTTGCAAGTATTTCACCTGTAACGCAGTATATACAGGGATTCTGAAGCATCAGTGTATGATGCTTAGCATTTTTCATGTCTTCAGCTCTTGAAACATTACATATTTTTACTTTTAGTTCTATTCATAACAATTTCAAAATGCTACCCCTCTCCTCACATTCAGAAAGCAGATGGAGAATTAAGTTTTGGGGTTTTTTTATTTCTTCAAACACAGGTTCACGATTTTTGCACGAGTTATACTCTCATCTTTCACACAAAAAATGAAGGAAATGACACATTTCCCATAACAGGCAATAAACTCCAACTCCTACCCTAAAGCGGGGGTAGATGTGGTAATGCTTTGTCCACATCAAGTCTCAAGCTTCTTATGAGAAATCGAAACTCCTGTTTTTATATGGAAAATTCCCCCCACTATTCCCTCCTGTAAATACCAACTCTTGTAGGTGTAACAGGTGCTTAGACAGTACTTTTTTCTAGAAAGGAGTTGCTCAGAGCTTACCTATCACAGGGAGGCTGGGCACAGAGCTCACCTCCTAAATATGAAGATGGCAGCCAAACTTGGCCTAGACTACGCCAAACCACGTAAGGATGCAGGCAGGCTTACTGCCTCAGAGACGTTTCTTCTAAACGCACTTGCATTTCATCCCTCTTCACGCAATCGCATCTGGCACCTCATGTCAAATGCCACACACATGGATCAGTTCTGTCCATATGCAAACACCGAGTTCTGAATTCAGAGGCTGTTTAGGATTACGAACACAGAACATGTTTTAGCCAACAATACTGGAAATTCATTCCCTTTTAATGACAAATAATTAAATTCACTGTCAGTGATCTACACCTTGTGCAATCTTACTGCTGTCATCACAAAACATGGGCTTTATTTATCACAGCCCTCTTTGCTCACGATAAAAAGATAGACTATCTAATATGAATGAGTACATACCAAATCCTCTATTGACTTCCCAGAAGTACCAGCCAGCACGCAGCGTAAAACATTTGCTGGCGGAAACAAGTCATCAGAGCTGGCCTCACATAACAATTACGCTGCAGGTGGAGAGATTTTTGTCAGACCTGCATCAATCAATAAAGCAGAGCAATCCAAATACAGTTTGGGGCTTCACCTGGCTCGCAGCGAGGCATTGTGACAGGCTGCTGATTGTTACAGTGGATGCAAACGAGCTGCAGATCAGCCGGCATGTTTTAATTTGTGGGTACCAACCTGGAAAGACTTTGTGCTAGTTACACATTTGCTTCTTTGCTCTTGAGAATGTGCTACTATTGCTATAACCTATGATACAATTTCTTTAGAATAGTTAAAAGGTTGCAGGAAAAAAAAGTACTCTTCCAAATCACAAATCCTTTCAGCATTGCTTTTGAAGAAACAAAGAATGTATCTGTGTTCATCTGGCAGCAGAGGAACTGATTCTATCACTCTTTAAAAAAACAATGCTCTAGATGTTCAAACTACTGGAGATAATTTCAACACAAAATATAAAGCAACTCTCAGAACGCAATGATTAATAAGGGTAACAGTATTCTGCACATAAACAGCATCAAAAAATGCAAATATCTGTGCTCATGTGATTTGGCTTTTGGTGCACAAACAGCTTGATGGAGGAGCTCAATTTGATTCATCACACCTGGTTCACAAGGCTATCTGTTTAGACTGGTAAGCACAATTTAAAAAATATTTAAAAGATGTAAACTCCAAAACAGCTCCCTTGCTAGCACAACAGTATCAGGGAAATTATTTTTTGTCTCTAATCTCCAGCTCACTTCAGTAGTTTAACTGTAAAATAAATGCTTTTGCAACTGCATGAACATGCTAGAAGGAGGGAACCTGACCATGCCATTGCCCAAGTCCCTCACAGAGCCCATACGTCATGCTTTGGTGTCACCTGCCCTAGATGTTCCGTTGCATTGCTGTAGTGGCACCACTTCCCATCCCTAGCGCAGACACAGAAACCACGTGCAGACGGAAAGTGGTGCCACTACAGCGATGCAATGGAAAGTCCAGAGCAGGTGACAACCCCCCACTCCCAGCGAGCAGGCTGGGGATGGGCAAAAGGCTGGGAGAGGGCACAGCCAGGGCAGCCAACCCCAGCTGACCATAGGGACATTCCCAACCCGAGCAATAAAAGCTCAGGGAAAGGAGGAGGAAGGGGGGGATGTT